CCCCAAAACCCCAAAACCCCAAAACCCCAAAACCCCTCATCACTAATTATTTTTGAAAGGTTTAAAAATCCATATTTATGCATTCCATTGGGTTGAGACTAATCCACTGAAGGCATTGGTGGAGCCCACGCTCTGTTTCGCACTCGATGGCATATACCCTCCAGCCCCTGATCCAACAGGCTTGTTGTACTTATGAATTTTGTTGTTTGACTGAAGTGTCGCTTTCAAGCCGAATAAGTCAGTTTGTAGTGAAGAAGACCCAGCAGCCGGCTTTGTGTATGGTGGTGCAGTAGACATTGGAGCAGAAGATCCTAAATCCATAGCAGGGGAAGTCATCCTTGGAGTGAACGAGGAAGGTGTAGAGAATGGGTCTGAGAAACCAGTTGATTGAGGGAAAGAACTCTGTGGAGGAACTGAACTCTGGCTTGGGAACGAACTTTGGGAAGAGAACTGGTTTTGAGAGAAAGTGGGTTGAGTGTTCGAAGCAGGATTTGCCCAGCTTTGTGTCTGAGTAGCAAATCCTCCGTTAAACGGTGGTTGGAATTGATCTCCAAAGCCGCTCGGTTGACCGACACTCATTCCTGTGAACATATTAGATTGAGGTTGTCCAAAGCCAGTTCCAAGATTTTCTAATGCTGCATACTTATTCTCAGGTTCAGAAGTCTTAGGTTGAGATTGACTATATAGATTTGACAAATTATTAGTCAAATCATTAGTTGGAGCTCCAAAAGCATTAGAAGCTGAAGCGGATGGAGGAGTTATAAAAGCTGAAGAACCTGATGCAGTATCTCCAGATGATATGAAATCTCCAAAATCATCCTGATGCTTTACCTTATCCTCAGTAGGGGTCACAAAATCACCAAAATCATTACTTCCTCCAATCAAATCACCCATTCCTTCATCATTCTCTTCCACTTTACCCCCAGTAGCTTCCTGAAAATCTCCAAAGTCATCATCTTGGGCTTCTTCAAAGTCAATAAAATCAGCTTGCTCCTCCTTTTCCTGCCTATCTTTATCTCTTCTCTTCTTTTCTTCCTTCTTTTTCTTCTTTTCCTTCTTATCTTTCTTCTTTTTCTCCTTTTTGTCTTTCTTCTTTTGACGCTTTTCGAATTTTCCGCTCTGGTAGAGGTACACGGGGTCATCTTCTTCTTCATCGAGCCAAAGCTGTTTCACGTATTTATCCTTAATGAACTTCTTTGCAATCGATGCACTGGAGTTGGCAGTGGGCTTCATCCCTGAAGGCATGTTCTTCTCGTAATATTCGTTCATTATTTCGTTGTCTGTAAGAAGTGTTTAGAACAAAGAGTTTTTAAATTGGAATACAGAGGGGTAAACAATCGGTATGGACAGTATAAGAATTCTAAACACTTTGTTTGGACAAAAGTGCTGACAGAAGGATTTTAAAGATAAGGATCAGCTTAGGATAGATAGTCTAGAGAGAAATAAGCTAACGGCAGTCTGATTGGGATTATATAACACTAGGATTGAAACCAAAACACCAGGTTCCATTTTTGAAAGTATTCTACTTACTCAATACTTGGTACTGCTCTATGACTGGAAGCTTCAAGGAATCAAGCACGGCTGATTGTACAAATGTAATGTGGGTTCCAAGACTTCTATGGATTCCTATATCAATGATAAATAATGGGATTGTTAGATTAGTAAACTTCATATTGATATTCAAAATTCATAACCTACCTGAGCATCTGAGACAGACGAAAGTTCCGAATTTGATAGAGATCCATTCAGGTCCAACAGTATCTCAATCTGCACAGAACCTATTTTGAGGCTTTGCTCTTTCCTTCTTCATCAACGTTATCGAAGTTTTTGAGTCTATCTTGGACATTTTCCTATATTCTTTTACTATTCTATTAATTGTATATTATTTGGGGTTTTGGGGTTTTGGGGTTTTGGGGTTTTGGGGTTTTGGGGTTTTGGGGTTTTGGG